CTATTCAATGGCTTTGAGTAGATTCTAGGGTGATATGAAGTGGGGTCCCCTTGCCTTCTTCAAGAACTGATTGCCTCTGTATGTGGCCACCTGTGGAAAGCCCCTCTGACTGCCTTGAACAGGTGGGGACTGAGTCTAGTATCTTCTTCCATTCAGCTTCCTTATTGGTGACCAAGTCTCCGGCTGGTGCTCCCAGGGCTGTGCAGGCATTGTAGACACAGGCACCTCTCTGCTTACCATGCCCTCTCAGTACCTGAGTGACCTTCTGCAGACCATAGGAGCCCAGGAAGGAGAATATGGAGAGGTGGGTGTGGTAGGAAGAGCCCTCCTTTGGGGTGGCTGGAGTGTGTGTGTGGCCTTACAGTTTCTCTTTGGGAACACAAAGCTAGCTGAATTCTTGGCCTCCAGGCTTTTAGCTACAGAGGGCAGTGGGGTAGGTGGGTAGCAGCTCTGGAAGAGTGGAGACCTGGGGGTTGGAGCTGAAGTCACCTTGGATTAAACATTGTCTAGAAGTTGGGGCCAAGCAAATGAGTGACAAGGGACAGCCCTGTAATCTATATGTCCCTCACCTTCATCTCCACCCTAAGGCCAGTAAAGAGTTTGCCTACTGAGACAATTCTCATTGATTTTTTTTGGGGGGGGGCACTGATGAGCTACATGTTCTTACAAATTTTCAGAGGAAGGGCAACAATTCAATCTCTCTCAGAGCAGAAATTCAGTCAGGAGCAAAGTTTAGGCATAGTGGGCTCCTCAAATCCCTACCTATGTATGCCAATGCTGAGGTGCAGGGGTGATGGGCACTATTCTAAAGGAGACGAAAAGCCTGGGCTGTGTTCCTCTCTGCAGTATTTTGTGAGCTGTGACAGCGTCAGTAGCCTGCCTACCTTCAACTTTGTCCTCAACGGTGTCGAGTTCCCTCTGTCACCCTCTTTCTACATCCTCCAGGTAAGGCCCAGTTCCTGTGGGCAGAGCCACCTGGGTTTACAGTGGGTCAAGAAAAGCTATGCTTGAATAGCTAAGCTATGAATCCAAGTTAGTCAGTCCTTAAGGCATAACTGCCAGGCTAACCTGCTGCAGACCAGGAGTGGGGGGCAGGGGATGATGATGACAACTATAGTCTGTGGAGGAAGATGCCCTCCACTCTGTACAACCATTGCAACCTGGGGTCAGCTGTTGGGGAAACAGTGCCCTCTCTCCCAGAGCCCTAGCAGTCCTTGCTATGAAGGGTCAGCCGCCCTACGAGCCCTTTGGACTGGTGTTTGTGTCATTCAAGGGCAGTCCACTCATGAGCAAATGAGTGAATGCTGTCCCTCCTTTAAACAGGAGGATGGTGTCTGCATGGTGGGCCTTGAGAGCAGCCCTCTGACCTCTGAGAGTGGCCAGTCCATGTGGATCCTTGGAGATGTCTTCCTCAGGTCTTACTATGCCATCTTCGACATGGGCAATAACAGGGTGGGCTTTGCCACTGCCGTCTAGATTTGCTGTCTGGACACCCCGTGCCCTTCTTCCAATTGTCCTTCCTCTCTGCACCCTGCCTTCCCTTATTCTGTACCCTAGACTTCCTCTAATAATAAATAGTTCTCCACATTGACCAGCCTGTTGGGTCGTTTGTGTGTGGGGTATGTGGGGTGTGGGACCTGGGCAAAGCTGTAACTCGTCAGACTCCCGGATCTCAGGGATTGTGGGTGCAGGAGTCCCGGCAAGTTCCACTTTGACCTCAGTGACCACCTGGTGGGTCCTTGAAATGCTAAGTGAAGCAGGCTTGGAGATAGGCTGTACCCTTCAGAGTTTAGAGCCACTTCACAGACTCCCTCTGAGGAGATAAGACTGGTGATGGGAGTGGGGCTTGTACATGATGAGCAAACAGAAAATGCTCTGTGGAACCACATTCCCAGACTTGCCCACTGACCTCAGGGTCACAGGAATGTCCACTAGCAGTGTGTCTGAGGTCTGACACGATACAGAGCTAAGGGTTGTCTCTTCAACTTTGAATCAATTTTGACTAGAATTTTCTGAAGGACGCTGTACCTGTGTTTGTTTCTAACAGTTGTAGATCTTTGAGGAAGCAAGATGCTCATTTCTAGGAGGACTGCAGAAGGTTGAGGCTGAGTTAGAATAAATATAATTTTATCCAGCCCTAAATCCTAGGACGTTGAAGGAGGGAGAGCTGTCCCTTGGCTATGAAAAGGATGGCCCACCTCTTTCCTTAGCGTTCTCTGACCAGCCCAGTGAGAGGTCTGTTGCTCTAGACTTCATTCTTGCACTTCCTTAGGAGTTTTTTTAATAAAGTCCCAGAAACATGGGGTCACAGGATGGGCGACGGCAGAGGAGAAGCAGAAGAGGGAGAAAATAAAGGGTGAGGTGGAGGGAGAGAGGAAAGGAGGGGAAGAAAAGGATGGGAGGCGTGGAGAAAAGGAGTCGGTGAGAGAAAGAGTGAAGAAAAAAAGGGGGAAAAAGCTAAGAATGCTATTTCAGTGCTCTTACCTTCCAGTTGGAGGAAGAGACATAAAAGAGACTGGAAAATGTCTGAGCAGTAAAAGGGTGGCGGTGATGCTGTTCCAACTTTGCCACTTAACACTTATGGGTAGGGACAAAAGGGCAAGATCCAGGTCATGTGCCCCACCCCAAATTGAGACAGGATAGGCAAGGGAATTATGGGACTTGAGAGGAAAGGAGTCCCCGCATTTGGTCTGGGTCTGGATGAAGTCTTTGTCAGCTGAGAGTCATGACTTCTAGCGCAATGAACATTTCCTGAGGACTGTCAACACAGAGACCATTTCATTAAGAGCTAGAAACAAAAACAAGCCAGGAGTAGTGACGTACTTTCGGAAAGTAGAGGCATGCAGAGCTCTGTGAGTTCGAGGGCAGCATAATCTACTAGTGAGTTCTGGGTTATTTGGTGAGTCCCTGTTTCAACAAAACAAAACAATGGTAAAAAATAGCAATAAACCAGGATTAAGGACTAAGGCCTGAGTAGGTCCTCAACTCTCCCCCAGACACTGTCTGCAGTAAGACTGTTTTGTTTTAAAATATCCTAGCTTCCTTTATGATCTTTTACCTGGTCAGTTACAACACTATCAGGCACACCTCAGGAAACATCCTGTGATCTTATTTAAGTTTCTCAGCAGTCCTCCAGAGATAGCTTCAACTCACCAAAACAAGGCATCTGGCTATCTTAAAAGACAATGAGAAACCCACACCCAGTTTCTCTGGTGGGCCTATTCTTTTCCTGAGCAGCAGCATCTCTCTCTCTCTCTCTCTCTGTTCAGCATGTACAGTCAAGGCTCTAAGACATAGTATATATATATATATATATATTGCCCCCCCCCCCATGAGAATGAACCAAAAAAAAACCTCCATAATCTACATTTATTTATTTATTTATTTATTTATTTATTTATTTTTGGTTTTTCGAGACAGGGTTTCTCTGTGTAACTTTGGAGTCTGTCCTGGAACTCGCTCTGGAGACCAGGCTGGCCTTAAACTCACAGAGAATCCGCCTGCCTCTGCCTCCCGAGTTCTGGGGATTAAAGGTGTGCGCCACCAACGCCCGGCTTTGTTGTTGTTGTTTTAAATAAACTACAGTTCTGCTTCATACTGGCTTGTCCTGAAATAATAATTAATAGGATAACAATTATTATTATTATTTAACAAAGAAGTCAAAAGTCTCTCCAAGTGGCGTTTCCTAAAGGATAAGGTAACTGCTTAGGCTGCCGCTGGCAATCCTGTGTCTCCCATTGCACCACCTTTGACAGACATTTTGAGGAACCACCTGGAACCCTGTATCTTTCTCACAGTCCTGGAAAAGTAGCTTGGTATTGGTCCTTTTACAAGATGTCATACTGTAGTAGATCCTAGCTCGGACATCACTGATAGAGAAGAGAAAGGAAATCTAAAATGGGGAAAAGGGAACAAACGTTTAAAGTCAAAAGTCGACTCTTTGGGAACCTCGGCCAGCAGGGTAGAACTGTAAATCCCGGCGAGCCCCGCG